TTAGCTGGCAGTCCAAGAAGCAAACTTGTGTGTCTCTCTCAATAGCCGAAGTAGAATACACAATTGATGCTTCGTGTACTTCACAAGTAGTCTGGATACAAAGTCAACTTAGAGACTATGGACTGAGTATAAGAAGATTCCTCTTTATTGTGACTCTGAAAGCACGATAAGAATTTGTCACAATTCGGTATAGCACTCAAAGACAAAGCACATTGCACTTAGGTACCACTTCATCAAGGACCATGTTGAAGATGGCAACGTGAAAGTCCATTTCGTAAGGTCCTCAGATCAACTTGCAAATATTTTCACTAAAGCGTTACCAGAAGCAAGCTTCAATAGAATTTTGCAAGGTTTAGGAATGATGGAAGCAGAATCGGTACCAAATCGTCAAACCTCTCTCTGAAAAATTAGGCAAGCGAAATTAACTGATCGCTCGGTTTATTTCGGCTCCTTAATTTTAGGGAACCGAAATGAACTGAACGCTCTGCTTATTTTGGCTCCTTAAGTTTAGGGAACTGAATTGAACCGATCGCTCGGTCTATTTCGACTCCAGAATTTTAGGGAACCGAAATGAACCGAACTCTCTGCTTATTTCGACTCCTTAATTTTTGGGAACTAAAATGAATTGATCTCTTGGTTTATTTAACTTGAATTATTTAAGGTGTAGGTTCGACTGTCTCTTTTTATACTCTATTTTTTTGTCCGTTATTATTTTTTTTCTATATTTCTAAGATGTTTTAAAGTTTTTATTTTTCTAATTTTATTAATTTCATTATTTTTCAGAAAATAAAAAATTTCATAAAGATTTTGTTTTATTATTTTTTGTGTGTGGTTTGTTTCTCTTTTCTTCCTTACTAGGTATCAAGTGCCAAGATATCTTATGAACTCGTGGAGGGGCAGGTATGTCAATTTTAACTATAAACTAGCTAGGTCTCCCTAGAAGCATGTTGTTGCATGTACACTAAAGCCTGTTAAAACTTTGAGTGAGGCCTTAATGATTCGATTTGTACCTATTGTTTCTTCCCAATTAGGCTGTACCATTCACTCAAGTCCTGAGCTACCCTACTCTTCTCAAATGAGTCAAGAGTTTTGTGATATGTTACTCTTTTAAAAGCAGGGGTACATTCATCCCTTTAACCACCTCATCTATATTCTCCATCTACTTTCGGTTCATCGATGTAACCCTTGAGACTCTTAGGAATTACTACTGAGGTTTATGGTTACACAAACTCTGTGTTTATGATATTAGATGCGTACACCACGTGCTAAGTGAGACCCAAAATCCAACACCAATACTGAATTGATGGTGAATATTTATATTCAAGAACTCACTTGTTACCCAAAAGAAGTCTCTTTTATTTTTCTTGCATGATCTTTATTAAATTGTCTAACACCAAGACATTTCTTCGCAAAAGATCCAATTTAGTTTTTGTTTTTGATATTTCTATTCTAAATTTTGTTACTTCCAACGTACCTAACCTACTTGCTCAACAGACCACATCAGTCTCACAAGTACTTCTTCCAACGTTCGGTCTTATGTTAAGCATCTAGGTTCGGTTGAAGCTTAGCCACACTCTAAAGCCTATGATTAAAAAGAAGCCTTTCAATGTTTCTTAACAAACATTTGATCGTATTCTCACGGGAAACCACACAAGCACTTCAATTGTCTCTTGACTTTGAACGAAGAGATTCGTGCCCGGGATCCTCAGCTTTATGTCATATTTGACATCACTCATATCCCATACACTTGTTTACTTTATTTCTTATCTGTTGGCACACTATTGCACGAAAATCTTTCTGATTTTCCAAAACTCTGGTTCATGACAATTGTGAGTGGTTTTCACTTTCGTCTCAAAAAATTAAACCGACTTATGGAAGTAATAAGGTATTCAGTTGTTGGATAAGGTGTCTAAGTCCATAACTATTTCTGGTATGTACTTGACCCGACCCGGCATGGTCCATTTGGGTTGCATGGCAACATGCAATTGGATAGACTAATTGAGAGAAATAACACTTGTGGTTTATTAATATATTATACGTTCTAATATATTAATAGTATTATTTAATTAGTTTGATCAAGAATTAATTTAGAATTAATTAAGTGATCAAAAGATAACTAATTAAATATATGGGTTGATTATGTAAATCATCCATAACCTGTATAGTGGGCTAATAGGCTCCATGGATTATCAAGTTGGGTTAAACCCATAGGATGCTCCATGGGAGTTACAAACCCATGGGTCATGAAAATGAAGAGTCATGAAAAATTAGGGTTTACATGGTGTAACCCTATATGTGTCAACACTATATAAGGAACTCATTCTCCACCAAATTCGGCTACACATAGATAAGTGAGGGCTAGGCCGATTTTTAGAGTGTTTGTATTCTATCAAAAGTCATTCCAAAAGCATTTGGTGTTGTGTGAAGCATTTGAGGCATCACACTTGGGGTGCTAGGCTCATAAGTTTTCAAGGATCATAATCAACAACAAGGTGATTTATTTTATCTATCATTCAAGTTAAAAATGTTCCCCATGTATGCTAGATAGGAATATAACCTTGGAATTCAACTTTACTTGATAATTAGACAAACATAGATCCAAGGTTATTAGGGTTGCATGTACACTTAGGAAGTGTTAGAATGCTCAAAACCCATCAGTGGTATCAGAGCCAGGTTTATTTGTTATTTGTGCAAAATTATGTTAAAAATCAAAACTACTTGCTGTCTGATCAGTGAAATCGCCAAGTCCATGGGGGGACTCGACGAGTCTAAGTGAATATTCATCCTACTCGTCGAGTAGGTTAATGCACTCGACGAGTAGGAGGCCTTGACAGCAGTTTTTCGACTTTTGTTGCTGGGAATGGACTAGAAACATTACCCTAAACAGTTTTGGTACTTGAAAACTTGTTTTAAATGGTGTAATGTTTATGCTAATCCATTTACAATGGCAATCATCAAAATTACAAGTTTTAAGTGTAATTTTTTATTCTTGAAAGTGTTCATATTCATGCTCTTGAACCTATGAAGATTAGATGATCGTAGGAATTGCTTGTAACCTTCATGGTAGTTTAATTCATGATCATAATATTTTTTAATGGAGTCCATAACTTGTCCTCAAGTTATGGAAAACCAAAAGTCAGACTTTTATTAAAGCCATTAAAAGATCACAAGCGTTATAAAAATGAAGAGTCTTCATTTTTATTACTTAATTAATTCATAAGTTATAAGAAATGAAAAGTTTTGAAAGTTTACAAAACTTGCCCTCAAGTTTTGGAACAAATAAAGTCTTGATTAAAACTTTGGTTCCAACCCTTAGAATTTTAAAAGTTAAAATTCAACCCTTATACTTTATAATATTATAAGTTAATAATATATATATGTATAAGATCAAGTCGTCTTACCGTTAGTACACCTCATTCACGAAGCCGATCTATAAGGGGGGTATAAGGTTGTTGCCTATAAAATGGCAACTTAATGGTGTCCACTCTCACCCACTGCTTCCTTGATCGGTGGAGGGTCGTTAGCCGAACGGGTAAGACAAGGACTTATAAATTCTCATGAAAAGTATGGTGAATATTATAAAGTAACTAAATACTTTTATTAAATTCCCAATCCTAGTTACTTTAGGGAAAATGTGAATAAGGTGCTAATCCATGAAATTACACTTTACACTTTGTTTAAGTCGTTGGTGGAGTGTGTGTGGTTAACTGGCACACTAACTTGGACTTAACAAGGTAGGTAAAGGGTGACTTAAGGTTTATCATAGTATCGGTGGAGCGTGTGTGGTTTACCGGCACATCGATTAAGCGATAAACTTTAAGGGTACCAAGTGATTTGCATGATTACTTCACACCTCGTTTTGTGATCCTCGGTATCACAGTCACAAAACTGGGAGGGCACACTCGAGATTGAAACATGCCTTTGATAAGTTCATTGAATCTCAAAGAATCTAGGAATTTCTAAGAACCAATTAAAACCTAATATTTATATTTCGTTTTTCATGGTGGAAATTGGTGAATCGTCATTCACCTACCTTTCAAATATGTTATAGCTTGGATTACAACATAGCTCTTCTAAGTTATAATATATTATGATTGGATCCTAGCCTTAATATTACATTTGGGTGTTTTATTAAGGACTCTCTTAATATCTAAACTAATCTTGTTCTCTTCATTCAGATGTCTTTAAACAACGCTGCTTCTGTCTATAATCCTTATGGCTCCTTTACCCTTATGAACTTGTGTGGGAAAGTCACTTTTGATGGATCCAACTTCAATGAATGGATCAGAAACATCAGGACGATTACCCGCTATGAGGACAAAGAATATATCCTTGACAAGGAGCTTAAACAGATTGATGAGACCACTGCAACTCCCCAGGAGATCGCTGACTTCCAGGCACATGAAAGGGATGCTACAAAAGTGGCATGCATCATGTTCGGCACCATGCACTACTAGAAAAACAGCCTTTTACGACGCTTATTGCGCGTCGTAAAAGGCTTAGATGACGAGCAAATGCGCATCAAGAAAGGCCGTGTCATAAAGAAAGATGGCGCGCTTTTGCCCGTTGTCTATAAACGATGCGCATTTTCGACACGCGTTTACAACATGCAATGCGTATCAAGGAAGGCCCTGTCATAAAGGAAGACGACACGCATTCGCGTGTCGTAACCTTACGTCGCGCGTGGTAATTACACGCAATGCGTATCTAGAAAGCCCCTGTCAAGAAAGGCCATGTCATAAATGAAGATGACACACATTTTTGCGTATCATAATTTTAAATGTTTAAAATAAATATTATTTATAGATTTACTTATTTTCAAATTAAATTTGTATTTAATGTTTCATAATAGAAATTAAAATATAATATACAAAAAATTGAATCCATTGCATAAATTTAATGTCATACAAATAATCGTTAACAAAAATTCATTTAAAAAAAATCAGATGTCAAACAAGTTACGTACATTACATGTCAAACAACACCACATGTTAACACTAATAACACTTAAAAACATGATTTTTCTTACATTTGGAGCACCCACTATTCCTATATCAGCAACCAACTTTAGGTCCAATTCCAACCACCTTTAAAAGAACAATATTGTAAAAGAACAACATTAGAAAAGTTAATTAATATATACCAGTACAACATGTAGGAATAAGTTCCTTAGTTTATCTACTTTATATGTAATTTCTCATCAATAACATGTCTTGTTGCTGAGTTATTCCCATGCCGCCCTTGGTTGAAGTTTTACATTTGATCCATGTAAGTCTAATCAATGGCAGGTCTTAGGAATGAACCACAAACAAACCTAAGAACAGAAACATTTTCTTAAGGACTAGATTCCCTTACTAAACCTGTTTGTTGTAATAGAATAATTCTAGAAGCCAGCATAAGAAAACATCCAAAGTAAAAAAGATCCGTTCTTGAAAGCGACTTCAACTTCCTGTCAAAACAATAAAAGGTTGGTTGTTTTCTAGATTATCAAACTATTTAGTGTTTATTTTAGCATGCATGCAATGAATAACATTGAAAACCAAACCAAACCAAAAAGAGCCCAATTCAAAAAATGCATTACATCAACATGTAAGGACTGCTTACTATTTTCGTTCAGATACCTTCAACAAATTCAACCAATATTATCAAATTGTTCATTATTCTCTACTTTTGTTGAACCAATGTTATCAAGATTCAAATCTATAGAGCACCCATGTCTTAGACACACGAAGCGATCTAGCAAGCATGTACATGTTGTTGCTGACATGTGCAAGTCATAAAAACATAGATAACATTCTTTTTCATTAGTATTTTTCAAAATTATCTTCCATTTTTTGAAATTGAAAACTGGTTTGAAGGTGTTGGATCCTTTTTAGCTCCATTTCAACTCTCATTTGAAATTATTATATTAAAAGAACATTAGAAAACAACAAATAAATAAATAAATAAATAAAGTTTTTTTTTACCTTGACAGCATTGGTGAGTATCCCATTCTTCCCACAAACATGTTTCCAATATAAATTCTCGCAAGTTTCTTTATTCGAAAATCAAGCTTCCCATAAAGCCCTAATCCTTTCTCTAGTTAATAGCAACTTATGAGATACTGATGTTTTTCGTCTTTGCTCACTGTACACCTCGACAGCTCGATTACACCTTGTCCATGTTCCAGCCAATCAACAGGCGCCACATTGACAGCCTCCACACAGTTAAAACCACAACTGAATCCCGCATGATATGCCCTTGGAAAAGTAACATTAAACTCTCCACAACACTGAGAAGCTCGATAAACTGAGACCCCTTCAGACTTCAAAATTTTAGGGCTCAATTGACTAACCTGTTAAGTTTAAATCATTTATTCATTATCCAACTATCCAGACACTACTTATTGCGAAAAAAAAAATCTTACGAGTTGATGGAGTAGATCTGTTTGGTTTCTTAAAAAAAACAGATAGATGCTTCCTCATTGCATCTTCCAAGGCATTCACATGGCTTCCGGGGTACTCCATGCCACATATTCGGGTCGCGCCAATGCATATAGTTTACTGAATAAAGGTGGTGATCTTCAACATGCGTTTCCAAAAACAAATAAAAATATAAATACACAAACAAAAAAGAAAAAAGAAAAAAAAGTAAAGCTAAAGTTATTGCTGGCCTACAACTTAAACCTATAAGGGACTCAAAATTCTTACTTTCTATCTATGTAGGAGTAAAATTAAATTTTTTGTCCCTGTGTATAGCTGAGTTTTGTAATTTTTGTCCCAAAAAGTTTTTTCTTAACTTTTGGTCCTTATTTAAGGTTCGTGTAACGACTTTGGTCTCTGTTCCAAGTAAAATGACTATTTTTGGTTCTTAAGATAGTTGATTGTTTAAGTTTTGGTCCAAAAAAACAGTCATTCTACTTGAACAGTGGCAAAAAACATTATAAAAACCTAAATAAGGAGCATAATTACAAGAGAAAACTTTTTGGGACCAAAATTGATAAAATCAACAATAATCAGGGACCAATAATGTAATTTACTCAAGATGTAAATTAAAACTTTAGAGATCTTCTGATAATAACAGATTTCAAAGTTCAAATACACATTGATATTCATTCTATGATTGGCAGAGAGTATAATTTCTTGTAAATTAATACATTTGATTGTGCCATATACCTTCTGTAAATTCCAAAGATGCTCACAGACCGTTGTTCGTCCTCCATTACATAACAGTTGGATAGAGATTGACGAAACACTGATAGCTGGAATACGTCCTGTAGTTTTCTCCTCAACCCACTGGTATCCAAATACAGTTAAAAATGTAAAATAGTGTACTTAAGGCTTTAATAGTATTTAGCGTCTAATGAGGATAATGGAAAAGGATAAGGCTGTGTAATACAAGACATTTCCAGTTTCAGGTTGAAAGATTTACATATTGATTTATATTTTGTGGTCAAACAAAAGGGGTTTTGAAGTATAGTACTGATCAGAATCGGCAAATGTACATCTTCAATAGTGAAATGACCTCCTTGTAAGAAAAAAGGGCAAATGATCCAAGCATCCATTTCACCAAGTACTGAAACAACTGCATCTGGTTCCTATAAGAAAAAGGGAAAATGACCAATATATTCTAAAAAGTTCCTTAAGAAAAAGCTACCATAAAGTGTGTGTACTAACCCCTGGAAAATGACCTCTTAATGTCGAATCACCACGTAACACCACTGTGTAATCGTTGTTTCGAACTGATTTTGTAGTAGTAATCAGGTTTTGACAAATATTTGTTATCAGTGCACTAGCCTGCACGAAAAAGAATACTCAGTCTATTCTATATTGCATGAAAAAGAATATTAACGGTGATGGATGTGGATGTAGATGTGGTGTACCTTATTAGAGCTTAAGGCTCAGTCAATGACCCAGATTCCACCTAAAATTAATTGCCATGTCAGCATATACCATACTCCTATATACTTGACTATGATTCAAATAAAAAGTACACTAGAGATGATATACATACTATAAGTTGAAACCTGTGAATATACCCATGTACACCAAGGTTTAATCAGAATTGCACTCAGGTAAGAAGGGAACAGAAAAAAGAGCATAGCAAAACAGAAACAGTGAACCGGGAAGAATGAAATGTGGACAGGGGAAAGGAATGGTTTTGGGAAAATCGCTTGTTCACCAAGCTTTATTAGAAACAAGAACGTAAAAACTAAAACTAAAATACTTCTACTTATCCCCCTATATATATATATATATATATATATATATATATATATATATATATATATATTAAAAGAGTTAGACTCCTAAAACAACTCAAAAACGTTTAAAAAATCAAAATTTCCAAAAATACCCCTGGGACTCTTTTTGTCGCAGAATCTGCATTAAGCCAACACATACCAGGCAGAATAAGTGCTGCAGCCCAACACATGCAGCCTAAATCCCAGTTTATGGGAAGTGTTGGTCGGCACAATAAATATTTCTTGCACAATCATCACAAAATAAGACCGGTAGAATTGACTACAAAACTCCAAGTTCTGCAATCAAAATTAAATCAAAAATATGAAATAAAACAAATTAAAAGAGCCTGGTTTTAATAATGAATTGTAGTAGTAGTACCTGAAAGTTTTTAAGCATCTCTAACTTGTGATAAAATATTCGCTTACTAGTACAATAGAAACCTGCAATTAGATAACAAGTGTTATAATTGAGTAAACCTATTAGAAGCTTCTATGGCTAATGAAAGTGACAACTCAGCTAATGAACATAAACTTGCAAACTCCATTTCCCCAAGAGTAACACCTCCATATCAACCATATCTCCATTTAAGTCAATATGTTTAAATAAAAGCACCATGTATATTCAGAAAAATGTAATATCCAATCACCATTTTTAAAAGCTGTGATAAAAACTCCCTCTACAGATGAAAAAACCATCCATCTGAAGCATTAATCTGACCATGAGCTGCTTCGAGTTTTAAAGAGAATTTTTCCCATGATTTATTAGGTTTTCCCCTAAAGGTCTTTTCCTTTTTACACCAGGATTCTGCGTTCCAATTTTGACCACTGTACGAACACCCTTTTGTAAACCACTAGATAACACGTTCCAATTCTTGTCACTGACTGATTTTCTTAATATCGCAAGAAAATTCTCATTGTCCTGCATTTGTTCACTAAAACGCATCAGAGTTTAGTGTTTAAGTTTAGTATTTAGGGTTTATATAGACTATACCTTTAAGGAGAAGGTACTTCTAAAGAGACTTTCAAACTCCTGATAAAGGGGAAGGCATAGAAACTGTGCATTCATAGGTTTAAAACCTCCCAACAGATCTGCAACATCACTTTGCTGGCTCAAATTCTGCACCATAAATTTGAGCAAAATATATTATATGCTATTTATGTCATTGAAGAAAATTTAATCAGATAGACCATTTTACCGACATGTCCAATTAAACTATAGGCTATGAATGTTACAAAATTAGCTTAGTTACTAGACTAGATTATTAATTTCAGTTAATTCTCAGTTGGTGTTTTATTTTCACTCAATATCATATTATCTCACTATGAGTATATTGGTTTTTCAGTTTAACAAAATTCATTAAACATTTCAAATAACGATTCAGGATTATCCGAATGAGAAGATAAATACTATCCTATTTGAGTTAATCAAGCATTGTGCCATGAAACAGAAACACCATATATAAAAATGAAGAAACCCTAGTCAATGTAACTCTTAAGATTAAGAGACACTAATTGATTTAGGCCCTAAAATTAACAAAGAAGTTGTTCTAGCATCCATACTTGTACAAGGGGATTAGAGAACTATCCAGTGAGTGCATACTTAGGAGCTAATAAACTAATGGTGCCTGCTACTCGTGTATGCAAAGAATCAAGAAAAGAAACATGAAAAAGAGAGCCTAATTAATCGACTAACAAGAAGACTTATTGGATCAGTGATTTTATCTATATCAAAATTGATTTATTTCAACCTTTTACAAAGTCAAAAGCATCAAAACAAAATAAACCCCACCTATATGAATGAATTAGGGCTCACCCGAATATGAGATCTATTCATTCATGTAAATGTGCGGAGACATGGTCACTCTCAAGAGCCATGCGACGCCTATGCACAACATCAACATGGTTTTCGGCCCAAGGAGGAATCTTAACACAATCGGACGTCATCGATGGAGAAGTACAATCTCTCTCTATCTTTCTTTCTTTCTTTCTCTCTCTCTCACTCTCTCTCTCTCTCTCACTCACTCTATCTATCTATCTATCTATCTATTTATCTCTCTCTCTCTCTCTCTCTATCTCTCTCTCTCTCTCTCTCTCCGCCTTCACCCGCGTCTACAGTCTTCCTGAGTTCTGAGTACACACAAATCGATTAAACATCGATGGTCGGCGTGAGCGACGATTGAACATCGATAAAGACTTACATAACAAATCGTAGTTAGGGCTACGATTAGGGTTTCGAACTTTCAAGACTCTGATTCCAACGGGGGGAGAGAGAGAGAGAGTGAGAGAGAGAGAGAGAGAAAGAGACGAACTGCTTAAAGGATTATTAGGTTTTTTTGGGAGAGGATTTTAGAAGGAGAAGAAGGAGATGATCAGGCGAGGTGTTTAATTTTTTGGGATTTCATTTCCCCCCATCATAGGCAGAGAACGCGCCTTCCTAAAAAAATATAAAACGACACAGTTACACGACACGCTCTTTATTATTGGTGCCCTCCATGTTTTTTTTGGACACTAATTTTAGGTCGCGCTAAAAATGCGTGCCCTCTATCCTTCAAATTTTAGAAAACAGACATTAGTTTTTATCACACGCACAAATGCGTGTCCTCTATCAGTGCATGTCATTGTTTGCACGTCATTAAAAGGCTGTTTTCTAGTAGTGATGATAGTAGAACTCCAAAAGTCCTATGAGGACTTCTACCCTTTTGAAATGCACCAAGATCTGATGGAAAGATACCATCAACGTGCACGACAAGAGAGGTATGAAATCATCTGGTCCATCATAACAACGATGATGAAGGACGTGGAATTCGTCATTAGCCACATGCAGAAAATGCAACGGTATGTTGATCGGTTGTTGAAGCTTAATGTGAACTTCCCTGAGGAGCTTGCAATAGATATCATTTTGCACTCCTTAAGATCGTGCTATGATTAATTATGCATGACATATCACATGAATAAGGAATAGGTCACACTCAGCAAACATCAGGGACTCCTCAAGACCGCAGAAACAGGTCTTAAGGGTAAGTCAGTTTTTAACACTCCTACTCCAAACTCCGCCCCGGTTTTGGCAATTGGGAAAGGTCGAGGGAAGAAGAGAAAGAGCTCTTCAAAATGTACCAAGGATAGGACCCTTTATGGCTCTTCTTCATGTGGAACCAAGAATGGTTTCGTCACTCCTTCTTCTAACCCAAAAGAGGCTGAATGCTTCTATTGTCATGAAAAGTCACATTGGAAGTGGAACTGCCCAAAATAGCAGCAAGATGTGAAGGATGGGAATGTTAAACCCAACCATGCAGGTATTTACATTATCTTATCTAATAACTCACCTCATTCTAACTCTTGGGTCCTTAATACCGGTTGTGGTATTCATATATGTTCTGATTTACAGGGACTAAGAAGAAGTGAGAATGTAGAGCATGGAAGAATAAACTTAATCATGGGGAATAGGAAAGCTTTACCTGTCACCAAGATTGGAGTTTATACTTTATCGCTAAGTAGTGGGTTTAATTTAGATTTGAATAAATGTTGTTATTCACTAGAAATTTCAAGAAATATTATTTCCTTTCATGCATTGTATAAACAAGGTTTTACCTTTTCATTTGATAATGAAGTTGGTTCGATTAAAGATTTCTTTAATAATGTTCTTTATTTTAAAGCATTACCTTGTGATGGTGTGTGTGAAATTGTATTTGTGGTTGATATGTTAGGAAATAATGTATTGTGTATTGATTCTGTGAATGATAATAACTTGGATAAAACGTCATTATGGCATTGTCGTCTTGGACATATAAGCAAGAAACGCATAGGCCAACTCCAAAAGGATGAAGTCTTGGAGTCATTTGACCTAAGGTCAGATGATAACTGCGAATCATGCTTACTTGCAAAAATAACAAAGTTACCCTTCACAGGTTCTTGTGAGAGGGGTGAAGGTTTGTTGGATCTTTTACACACAGATGTGTGTGGACCTTTCAAACATGCCACAAGGGATGATAATCGTTATTATTTGACTTTTACTGATGATTAGAGTAGATATGGATATGTCTACTTAGTCAAGCATAAGTCAGAGACTTTCGAAAGTTTTAAAGAGTTTAAACAAGAAGTCAAGAATCAATTGGGCAAGAACATTAAGATGCTTCGATCCGATCGAGGTGGGGAGTATCTTAGTTCAGAGTTCCTCGACTATATTAGGGAATGTAGGATTGTCTCACAATTAACACCTCCCAGGACACCGCAGTTGAATGGTGTGGCTGATAGGCGTAATCGAACCTTGTTGTACATGGCTCGTTCCATGATGAGACGAGCTTCGCTACCAATCTCATTATGTTGGGTTTTATACAAACAATCCTATGTGTGCATGCAACCCTAGAGTTGGATCTATGTTATCACTATTAGTTAGACAACTTTATGAACACAAAAAGAAACCTGGCATGCTACTACTATTTTCGAAATCCACATAGAAGAATAGAATACATACCATTTGGTGTTATATAGTAATAACAACTAGTCCCTAGAATCTCCTTAGCTTTGAAAGCAAGTACCACAAGTGTAGTACCTCTAATGGCTCACAAACACCAAGAGTAAGAGGATGACTTAGGAGAAGAGGAGAGGCACCCCAAAACATCTAGAAATCCTAAGGAAAACCTTGGCCACATTTTTGGTGCTCTAGGGGTCTTTAAATAGTTTGACTACTAGGGTTATCAAACAAGGAAACCATAATTTGACTTCTTAGGCCCTAAGCAGCCCATGGACTCCCTTCTTAGAGGCCTTGGACATTTTCTAATGGGTTTCCCCATAAACTTCGTCCACCACTCTAATATAGAGTCTATTAGCCCAATATTCAACTATCACACAATTGACAATTCTAGTCCCCTTTATTTAATTAATGTCTTTTAACCACAAAATTAATTATTTTCAATTCTTGACTATTATTAATTAAACAATATGATTTCTCTTTAAATATATTATTCATATAATATATTAATAAATCATAATTAATCCTCTTACTCCATAAATCATCCTATCAAGTTGCTTTGGTGAAGGCAACTCAAAAGGACCATGCATAATCGGGTCAAGTACATACCAAAATAGTTATGGACTTAGACACTAATCCAACAGTCTCCCACTTGGATAAGTCTAATAACTATTATGCATATGACTTTAGATCCTGATTAGCAATCATAACTTTCAAAATTCGCTGTCAACTCTGATCTTATCATAAGCGTGTCCTTTAGATAAGGGATCATATAATCCTCCATTCTTAAGATATCGTATAGACATAAGACATGAATTTTAATCATTCTCTCTATATTGTTTCCCGACTTCTGATTTATGACGATTGACAACATACTACAATTGAACACATTAACTTAGTCTCAGCTTAGCCAAGCGCTTTGGTGTCATCACTAAATCATCGAGGGGCCTACATATATCTCTTTTATCCCACTTTGGGTAAAAGGAATAGATAAACTTCGACTCATATGCTCGCTTGCATTCACTCATCGAATCACACACAACAATAAGTTTTATACCACCAAGTCACTGGTGCATTTACTTATCATCAATGTGCAACCGACAAGCAAATAACAACTCACACGTCTCGTTTTCAAGAATATACAATATTATCGACTCAAAATCACTCGTGATAAAATCCATGAAGTGATTCTTGTGAGCGTGCGTTTAATCCAATGCTCAAAATCATATTCATAAGCACTCATGAACGTTACAACAAATCTTTGCAATGTCTAATACACTTTATACAATCTACAAACCAATTCGTGACAGTCTTCATTCATACCTACTTCCAACATATGAACGATTGTGGACCATTCGAATAATTTGATTATTCTGAAATAATTAATTATTCAGGAAGTCAAAACATGCAATGTGAAACACAAGAATAATACTAATCCTATATTGTCTCAAACCTTTGAGTATAAATAAAACACCTTTTATTTATCACCATATCGATTACTCATTATTTGTTGTTTCGGTGAATTAACCTATTACTTGAATTATTACTACAATTGTCCCATGCTCTTAGAATGCACACAATGTTTACCTATGGTCCTTACATTGTGAAATAGATCAAATGAACACCTTTCCTATAATACTCATTTCACAACTCCCAAT